AAGTTCGTCCGTTTGTTTTACTAACCTGGACGGCTTTGAGCGACACACTCTTCTTCTTGATTCCAACCTAGGAAGACAGCTGGGATTCTCTCTGGAGAAACCTCAGTTTGGCTAAGTCTGATCCCATGAGCTAACTAGGGAAGACTTCACAGTCAGGGACCCGGCATGCCTGCCGGTGGTTTCAAATCGAGGCTTCAAGCTTCTGTGTTTTTAACTCCCGTGGGGAGATTTTATTTTGGAAAGAGGAACCGGATACGGCCTGAATTTTTCTTGCTTGGACTGAAACAGACGAAAGTTACCTGGAAAAACACCTGTTCGCCAATGACCGGTAAGCGAGCCGACATCAVTTCCCTGACTGATCGGAGGCGAGCCAGCTCCTACCCTGAGGGTGCCTTAAGAAGTCATCATCAGGTAAAAGCTGATGTGTTCGGGGTGACCTGTCATGTGGACCCCTGAGCGCAGAAAAGACGTGCTGATCCGGTTGACCCACACTTTGATAAAGTAAAAGTAGTAAAATACTAATCTTACTTTCATCCTTTCCTTGTTCTTAATTTGCCAAAACTTAAGCTAAAAGTGCCAGTAAAATTGTTTGGTTGTTAACATCAGAACTGATGTTTTTATTGTTCTATATAAGTAATCTGAGTTGATGTGAATTGAAATTCGACACGGGTTTTATCTCATTTAACTCTGACGCTTGTTATAGGAATAACCACAATCAAGTGTAACTTATGATCTGTTCAATTTGTGTAAATAAATGATTGCATAGTCTTTTATGAATCAACTTGAACTCGTCTGAACGTTCACTTATTGTGTCACTTTTCACTTCTCACAGTCAAGATATTAACAAGTAATGAGAAATACCTCGGTAAAAGTTTCCTCATAACCTTGTATATGAGAGATGTGGGAAAAGCTTGATTCACCTTAAACTCGTTCCTACATTCTGAAGTTGAAAATTCAAGATGGTCACCACATCTAATTTCAAACGGCTTTCATTAATCTGTTTTCAGAAATATTGAGCTGATATTTTGTGTGATAGTAGCTAAAAATGATCAAAAATACATGCTGAATGCTAGTCGCAATTTTTATTCACAAGTTTGTATACATACAAAGCTGAAGATTAGAGTAGAAGTAGCCACTAACAATCTTTACCAAATGCTAAATGCTAATCAAAAGTTCAATATGGCCACCACAGCTAACTTTGAAAGGCTATAATTCAGACATTTTAAGACTTATTGGGATGAAATTTGTTGTAAATTAGCTATGAATGACATGAAGATTGCCACCAATGCTAATGCTAATTCTTCAAAGGGCTGTAATTCAGACATTTGTAAATTTACACAGCTAAAACATTTACATAGTACAGTATAGTATCGGAGAACAATCTTTAACACAATCTGAATGCAAATACAAAATCCTTTATTGTATAGAATCCATAGCAACATGCTATGTGTTTACATCCATCGCGGCCATGTTTGTAATGACGTATCGCGAGAACAAACGTATTCACGCGTGACTTTAATAACATTTCTTACTTAATGGAAAGACCGCAGTTGCGAAATTGTGTTTTTCGCCATTAACAGAATATCGACAAAGTTTTGCGCACATTTGCAATGGTAACACAGCTACTGACAAATGGAGTTAGCCCCATTCAAGATGGCCGCCACAGCTAAGTGTTTATGCAAACACACGTCTAAATAAGCACATTTTTACAGATGTTGAGCCACAACTTGGTGTGGTAGAAGCTGCAACTCAACAATCTGGTGGGCATTATGCATTCCCACAGTAAATAACACATTGTTGTGTTTTTCTAATAATGGAACTATGGAGGATGTCAGACTGGGCCCATAAAAGACAGCAGATCTGAAAGTTTGTTACAGGATTGTTAGAAGGAAAATCAAATTAACGTTATCTAAATGAAGCATTTTCAAGGTGCTGCTTTTGAACACCAGCATGAAAACAATTTCCTTTCATGCGTTTACTTGACTTAATTCACTGTGTACTCGCTCAGATTGATGTTTGTATTCTCTGACACATCTACAAATTGGGAAGTCTTTCATCCCCGTGAGGCCTCTCTTTTAGCACTTCTTTGTACACCTTGTGAAGGTTGTGAATTTGTGCTTGTTTACAGCCGCACAATTATTTCATCTTTCGGCTGAGCTTTACCTGCTTTTTTTTTATCCGCAGGCTTCAAAGAAAACACAGATGCTTTTGGGTTTGTCGGATTGTCGTGCGTTAAACTGTAAATGTATTTTCTCTCCGCTCTCCTGCCTCATATGTTTACTTCCATGTTAGCATTGCTGCAGCGGGATGGCGAAGGGTCTCCAGAGTGGAGCATTTTGTAAAATATTTATGTCAGGTTGTCTTCATTAGGCCCAGAATAAGAACCATATGTCGTCTTGGCTGCCGGCCATCTTCATCATCCCGGCAGGTGTTCCTCACCCTCCTTTGTGTTCGTGCACAGTCACTGCTTGGCTGCCTTTGGAAGAGGTGGCAGATTGTATGGAGTGCTGTTTGTAAAGTTAAACAGTCAAAAATTACAACCAATGTTTTTGTTTTATTTAGCTTTTTATAAGAAAAAAGAACAGATTTATTTTTCAAAGTCAGTTTTTCACCATATGATTCATACATTTATAAATGTCA